AAGAATTTTTAAAATCGCACAGGTAGTTTTTGTGTTATTTCAATACATGTAAAAGTAAAAATATTTCCTCTTTATATTACTTGTATAGATTGATATAATTAGTTTATATTCCCGAGCTGTTGTTGTTGTTGTTGATGATGATGATGATGATGATGATGATGATGACGATAATGATGATGTATATAAATATGTTTTTGTCTACAATATGGTACAATATGGTATACATACAATGGTAATTGTCATAATTGTTATTTTTTCCTAAAAACTCCATTTCTAAAACTGTAATCACGATAAATATGCGGTTTTTTTCGAATAACAATATTTCTTTGTTTCCAGGTTATAACCAAATTAATAGAAGCAGCTGAAGAAGTGCCTAAAGCAGTAGTGAATACTTGTGTCGACGTGAGTATAAAGTCTACATTTTATAAAAAAAAATATTTATTTTTTTTCCCATTGAAAATAAAGTTTCTGTTTGAAAAACCACGTAAACGATGTCACATACAGATTCCGATATAACTGTACAAAAGTTTATTAATAGGTATGAGTTGTTTTTTTAAATGTATTTTGTATTTTTTCTCTTTTTCAGACCTTTGAAGCCATCGGAAGTTTGTTTGGTAATCCATTTGGTTGAAAAGATCCGAAATAATTTATTTAACAATGAAATGAAAATAAAACTTAATTTATTATACTTGTTTTGTTTCATTTAAAAGTAAAATATGATAAAAAGTACTTATAAAGATGTTTAACTTACTAAGCCGAATATTTCTATAAATAATATACTCTCGATCACTGAAAAATATACGTAAAACCTGACACGAGACGTGATATATTTTAATATAATGTTATCATCATTTAAAGCTCCTAGGTGATTCAGAGAAGCTCAAAATGAGTTAAAAAATGTAAAACGTGAAAATTTAAAAAACCCAATTCAAAGATCGTGTGTCGATTTTTATTTAATTTAACTAAAAAAAGAATAGTTATCAACCGTGGTCGTAGTGAATTCATGGTGAAGTAATTTTCTTTTTTGCACTTTTGTCTGCATTTCTTCGGCATCAATTATAAAAACATTTAACAGAATTAGCAATCGGCCTAGTAGTTTTTGAGTTATTTCGATACATCTATACTATTATAATAAAGCGTAAACACACACTTCTTTGTTGCCTAAGATCTCAGCAATTACAACATATTTTTTACATGATTCTTTTTTTAATGAAATGCCCTACATTTACGTCACGCTTTAAGCTATATATTTTCACGCCATTAAACTTAGGGGGTAAACATTTTGGATAAGAACCCTAATGTGGGAAAGAGACCATAAGTTGTTGCCAACATCAAGGAAGCAAGATTGCCATAGTAAGGTAATTGGTATTTTGACATTTGGAATAGAGAATTTGACAAATGCAAACAATAAATTTATAATTTCATGCAGATGAAGCCGCACGCGAACAGCTAGTACAAAAATACAAATGATTATTTGCAGTTATGTCAACAAGTGTTAGCATATGTATTGTGTAATTAATATTCAGAAGCAGTTAAGGTTTGCATTAATTTTCTTTTTATTTTAAAGTCGAAAAGTCGAATACAGTGTCAAAATTAAGCAATCCTGTGTTCAAATACTTTTTTGTTAAACAGCAAAATACACAAAACAAGAGAACCTTGTAAGTAATACCCATGAAGAAGCCTGTAGCACGTAAACAATTAAATGGGTTAAGTCGGTTTAAAAGAGCAATCGTCTCGTACGATCTACACAGTATTAGAAATGTCGAGAGCACAGAAATCGGTAATTCTGTTAGTTGTAGCACTTTGCTTTAGTGTATGCGGTGAGAATGTTAGTACTGCATCTACAGCGATGCCACATCCATTATCTTCAATCGATGTTAGACCTTCAGGAGTAAGTAAGAAATGTTTATATCTGATACTGGCTTTCTTCCGTCCGCGTGGAATAAAAACGAAAGTGAGTTGTCTATGCGTCTTTTCAGACTATCCTCAACATCTATACCAAATTACATCGAAGTCGGTTCAGCAGTTTAGGCTACACTCTAACAAACATCTATTCATTTATCCATCCATCTAAACTTTCGCTGTTCTGATCTGACCTGATATTGTTACAATAGATACTTAATAGTGCGAAAGTGGATATCCTTGATATTAGATCTCACGGCTGTTAGAAATGTACGGAATAAACATACTACGATAATCGTCCTTATATAAGAAAAAAGACGATCTATGAAATGGGTCAACCGTTAGAAATGTTTCTTTTAAAATTGCTTTGAATTTAATTAAATTGTTTCATCAGTAATTAAAATATTTTTTTACAGGCCATTGCAAGTTTTCTTAAAATGCTCGTAGATATACCATTAGCACTAGTGGAAGCATTTAGAGATGTAAGTGATATTTTTAAATGATTATTTTAATCACAAAACTCATTGAATATTAACATTAATATGGTTTCTTTTATTTTTAGGGAGCTGAGGGCATTGAAAAAATTGTACTCGGCTCGCTTAGAACATTTTTTTAATTAGTACACTGATTACTAGTAAAGGACGAGAAAAGTAAGCACGATTTCCACTGGTAGCCTGTAAATTACGCAATATTGTGACATTGTATTATACTTGATATATACTATATACTACTATAGTTTGGTATTATCTAAAAACCTAAAGAATAAATCGGTTCATTTTAATATGATGATAAGTTTTAACTTTAATAAAAAGTTGCGCACGTTTTTTTCCTTTTTTTTTTCAAATGCTTTTTTAGTTTTCAGAAAAATAAACGTCATCTATAATGCTTGACGCCTTTTTTTTACTGCCATATTTTTTACATAAGTCGCACTAAGCCATAATTTGTTTTACATGAGTTAAAATTGCGCCACTCTTGTAATACAAATGTAATTAAATGACAGATCTCAACTGATTTTCAAATATGTTATTCTTGAGAGCTTTGTAGAGAAATGGAATAAGTAGCAAGTGGTGTTCTTTCAAAATGATGGCGCCGTGTAGTTGCCAAGGTTTCATAATAGACAATAACTAAAATGACTAGGTTTTACGTGATATCTAACACACTTTTGTAGGGGTAGCGAGATTCGGCAGTTTTTTTTTATATTTTTTGTGGGTTAAAATTTATCCGGTCCCATGGTAATTGAATATTCATTTTACTACAAAATGTTGACCGCCGCTGAAAAGAAACACTTATTAGCTTTGCATTTAAAACAAAAAAAATACGAATATGTTTGTTAATGCGTCATCAAGTGCATTGGTGTGTCAATATCTTCGTTTCGGTTGTTAAAGAGATATTTATTTATAAAAGTGCAAGTGGTTCTAGAGGTTTATCAGTGATGGAAAAATGGCTCGCCTGACTTTGTTTTTTTTAGTTCTTCTCTCTATTGCTTTTGTGCTTGTGAGCGGAGCTAACAATACTAACTCCTCCACAACACCAGAGACACCGAAAACGTCAAATGCGAAACCTCCTTCTGCGCCTGGGGCAGGGGTTTGTAGCAAATTTAATTATTACACCGTGTTATCTGTCTGTTGCTCACATCTTCGTCAGCTTGAAATTAAAAAATTACAAAAATCTCATGGCCTATGTTACCACTGATAACGTAGCTTTTTAACGACTTTTTGAAATGCCACCAGTAGTTTTGAGTTATCTCAATACATACAAAAATACAAATCTTTCATCTTTATTATATTAGTATTATTTTTATCTTAAGTATACATTATTATTAATAGTCTAAAATTGCATATAGTGAGCTGGTGAAGATGATGATTTTTTTTTCTACAATGTGTTCCATACAATGGTAATCGTTATAATTATTATTTTACAAACTCCCTTCTTAATTAGACAAAAAATCCTTTTATTTTCAAATAATAACATTTCTTTGTTTCCAGGCTGTGACCAATATATTAAAAGCAGCTGAAGAAATACCGAAAGCAGTAGTGAATACTTCTGTTGATGTGAGTAAAAATGAAATCAACATCTTATAAAATTTGTTTAAAAAAATGTCCTAAATGTGTTCATTTTTCGCATTGAAAATTCAGTTTCTGTTTAAAAAAGCCAGAAAATGATATCAAATACTGGTCCGATGTCACGGTTCGTTATTTCAAAATGTTTTCTTAAAATGCTCGTAGACATACAATTAGCTCTAGTGTAAGCAATCAAGATATAAGTACGAATTTTTTAAACTTCTGTTTTAATCAACACTTTATACATTTTAATTTTGATTTATTTTGCTTTAATTTCAGGGAGCCGACGGCATTGAAAAAATTGTACGCGGCTCGCTTAGAACATTTTTTTAATTAACACTCATAGCTAGTAAAAGTGAGCCTGATTTTCACTGGTAGCCTGTAAAATCATTTTAAATCCTACAATATTGTGAAGAAGTTGTCATCATCATTACCAGCTCACTATACGTCCCCATCGAGGGGCTCGGAGCCTACCCTGATATGGTGTGACTAGGCCATAGTCAACCACGCTGGCCCACTGCAGGTTGGTGAAGAAGAAGAAAGGAGAAGAAGAAGTTATACTATAGTGGTATTAAATAAAAGTTTTAAAAGAAATCAGTTTACTTTAATGTAATGATAAGTTTTAACTGTTATAAATAATTGCGTACATATTTTTGTATCTTTTTCAAATCCTTTTGTAGTTTACAGAAAAATCAACGCCATCTATAATGCTTGATGCCTTTAATTTTCACTGCCATCTTTTTAACAAAAAACGCACTACGCCTCAATTTCTTTTCCTTGAGTTAAAATTGCGTTATCTATTGCATAATAAATGTAATTTATGTTGGAAGAATAGAGGGCGTCCGAAAGCAACTTTAAAAGTGACATTTATATTAATAAAAATGCCAAAACTCCATACTAGGCAGTGATACTTTTTAAAAGCAAATATGTAGGTGTGTTATTTCGAGATGCGTGCATAAGTGGATTGAAAAACTAAGGTTAGGAATTTGGCGAAATAATGTGTAACGCAAATTGTGTAATATCACATTTATTTATTACATTTACTGAGTTTGCACGTGGCGTTACATAGATACTAATATTACAACAAAAATATATTTTGTATTTATCAAAACGGTAACAATATAGAATATTTTGATGAGACAAGCACAATAAGTGTACATACAACAATCATTTAAATATCCAAATACATTTGGTAACATAATAAAAGCTATCTCTTAATATTAACTTGTTATATTAGAGCTATTCAGAAATCTCTTACGATCTGTTTCTATTTATTTGTAAGAAAAGTTAAGTCTATTTAAATAAAAAATCATAAACTTGAATATCAAGTTCATACTACAGACAATTTGACCAATACTTTTGTTTTAAAAATAACTAAAAGACATAAATTTACATGTAAAAATAAATGTTCCATCTGCAAAATAAACATCAATTAAGTAAATACTTAATGTATTTAATACACATTCATAATTATTTTCAAATTCCTCAAAATGACTTATAAATAAAACATAAAATTAACATGGGGTGGGTCAATTAATTCTAGAATATACAATATATTAGCGAAATTCTTTTCCATTCCGTCTTACAATAAAATATCACATCACTGCAATAACTTAATCTCAAACGCGAAACCTTAAATAAAATGTAACAATTTGATAACATGCATCAGTAGGTATCATTAATATTTGAAAAAAAAAAGTTTTCGATAATAGTGAGATTAGCAAGAAAGTATAGAAAAAAAGGCGTAGAGATCAATATAGAAAGTATGCCGAATCTACTGACGTGTTTATTTGACTAGACCATTTGGTACATTTATGTAATTATTTGAATTTATCGGTTTCTTTTCAATGTCGACATCGAATGTTATGTACGTCGGATTACTGACAGCGGTGTTTTGTATGTTTTTAATATTCTGTTTCGTTTCGAACACATCGTCGGATTCCTCTTCGATACGCGGACACATATTAAGATATGGAGATGAATTTCCATCGTGATCCGATTCTGAACCACTTCGAGCTGGTAAATTATTTAGAGTCAACATTGGCGTGAGTTCGGAGCCGTGTGTAGTCGCTTCAGTGCGTGGGTTGAGTTTTCTTGCGTCAAAATCGAATTTTGTCCCCGGACCTCGAGGACTGAATATAGTTTGTTGTGATGCTGGACTCATTTGTAAGTAGCCTTCATCGTCTATAAATTGTAAAAAAATATTTATGATACTAAAATTAAAATAGACATAAGATAAAGTAATATCACAAAAATCAATGCAGATTTTTATAGCTTTCGAAATATAATATGGATAGAGAAAGAAGAGCATTCACCTAGATATTTATATAATATATGTGCTTTTGACTTTATTGTTGCGTTGTGCGTGTGTTTTGTAAGGAAAATAAAGTATAAAAAAAGATCAACAAGAAACTAAATTAATCTACATAATGAACACAACGAATAATATAAATCGGCATCATTAGAACCTTTCAAAAACCATAAGCAACATCCAAAAGCCCAGATTAAAACAACATTCATAAATAACAAAGTTTATACATCATAACAAGATCTCTCGTTAGTGACATTTATAACTACATGCCTTAGATATTTCTTTACCGTACCAATAAAACCGGTTCTTCAAATCAAAATGATGTAACCTTGATTCCGGCTGACAAAAAGAAAATAATTCAATTGTAACAAAAACATTGAACCACCATCGCTTTTATTTTATTAAAAGCGTAAAAGCTTGTGAATAACTAAATAACACTCAATTGACAAGCACATCTCTGTCCTCATTTGAGTTTTATGCAAAATAAAACTTTAATAATCAGTAAAAAATACAAAAAGTTACTAAGCTTCCACTCAAAAATTGCACCTAAAGTTTACAAAACCAAACTTTAAACAAACAACATGTTTACCGTGTTGTAACTGCGTGGGCGTAGGCGGGAAGAAACTTCTGCTATCATTGACGTACTGGTGCGGGCTCGGCGTTACCAGATTGTTGTAATCAGGCGCACACACCATTGCCAAATAATCCTCTTGTCCTTCAGATTTCACATTCATATCGATATATGCAGAATTCAGATCCACATAATGCTGAAAACAGATATATGATGTGTAAATAAGATCCGATCTTTGTGATCGATAATCAAATGCCGTACTATGGTGGTACTGGGTATATGTTTCATCAAACACATTTATTTGTTAACATTTTCGAAGATTATTGGTACAAGAACAAGTAACAAAATTCTGTAATCTTACTTCTTACTAACATTATAAATACGATAGTTGAGATGGATAGATGGATGGATGGATGTTTGTTAGACTGTGTAGCCTAAACGATTGAACGGATCTTTATGACAGTTGGCATAGACATAGAGGATAGTATGAACAAACGCATAGACTACTAAGTTTTGTTTTTTTTTTTTTAATTCCACGCGGACGAAAACCTACACAAACTAATTTTAACTCCAGTAAGATTGAAATGTATTTTACCAGCATATACATTTTTGATATAATTGTAAACACAATTACAAATTAGTTAACAATATGTACTGTATGGTATGACTTACATTTCTAACATTGTCCTCGAGAAATTCACCCAGTAACTCTTGTAGTTGTGTGAAGGAAGGCCGCGCGGTCGGCTTCTGAGCCCAGCAACGTAACATCACTTCGTACAAGCGATCGTCTGCGTACATTGGCTTCTCTAAACGATGCCTGGAAAGTAACAAT